GCTGTTCCTGTCGATTGTTTGTTGATCATTTACTTGTGTGTAAAATTGGGAGAATTAGATATTCAACAAGTTGAATGACAATGTGAATGACCATCATTCTCATGTTGTTTCTAATATAAATGTTCTTTTTCATGCACATGAAACTTATTACCTAAAAGAACTATTATAATGTCAAGGAATTAATATACATAAATCACATTTACCTTGTGGTAAAGCATGCTGCTTCTTAAGCAAACCACTGAATTCCTCACTTCCATCCTGATGAACAAATAAATCAGTTGAATTCAAAGGATGAAGGGCAACTCTCAATAGAGATCCTTTGTGTTTTGCTGCTTCCCTCAATGTAAGCGAGTTTGCTCTTTTGTGCTTCAAGACAGAAGGCTCAGATACCATTTTTAAATGTTTTGGATTAATGTCACTGTTTTCAGGCTTAGTGGAAGATAACTTTTTAAAATGTTTTGTGCCACTGTTATTTTCAACATTCAAAGATATTTTAAGATACTTAGAGCTACTTTCATCATTTTCAAATATCAATGGGATTTTCTTAAAACATTTGGAATTAGTGTTCTTGTTTTTAAGTTTTAACGACTTAGTTCTTAAATGGTTATGAATGGAACCATCTTTATCATGTGAATGACTACTTAGACTGTTTTTGTAGTTTATAATTTGGGTATTATGACATATTTTGCCTTTTTTCTTCTTTATGATTTTGAATGGTTTACATAAACTTTCATTCACTCTGTTTGCTGTTTTTTTCTTACTGTCTCTGGTAACCTTTTGTTTATCATACTTTTGTAAGCTGTTCTTATCAGACAAATCTCTTACACCTGGTTTTCCTAGATCTTTAGAAACTGACACGAACTTTGAATTTTTTATAGTTTCCAAGCTATGACTTCCTTTGGGCTCCACTTTATCTACGTTACATTTTTTAACTTCTTTTTCCTTACTAAATATCAATTGATGTTTTCTGGATCTTTCATTAGGTAATACAAGTTTCACAGAATTAGGTATATCTTTGTATTTCAAGGTCTTCACGAGTTTTTGAGGAGAAAGTTTACAAGTGCGAAAGTCCCTGCAAAACTGCTTATTACTTTTATTTTTCAAAATTTGCTGCTGCTTCCGAGATCTATCAGTACTTCGACTCGTGTTTTGTCTTGTTGGTTGAACCCGTCTCAATAATGAGTTTGTGGACACAGAATGCTTATAATTCACTTTTGGGTCTGTATATGACTGTTTCTCTGACCTACGAATGATACTGTCTTTCATAATAAGTCCTGCAGGGCTCCAATCTTGAGCCCAAGGAATCTCTCGAAGTGACTCGTAGAGTTTTTCAATTTCCCTTCCTTTGGTTCTTTTTCGAACAGACTTAAGATCTGTAAGATGAGGCACATCAGAACACACTGACAAGCTATCATCTAATAAAAAAGAGCTTTCAGACTCACTTTCTACATGGTTTTGGATAGAAAGTGATGAAGACACACCAGTGCAGCCATCCTCAATTAAAGAAGCTGTATGACAGCTAGATATTTGATCATCTAAATTTTTCCTAAGTATACTCATTGAAAACTCTTTCTTAGATTCTTTTCCAATATGTGAGAAAGAATGTTTATATGTTATGTTACCTTTTTCTGCTGCTAATTTTTTCTGAATCTTAGACACTACTCCTGCTAGTAACACATCACCATTTACTAAATTGGCAACAACTGAGCTATCTTCTGATGAAGATGAAATGTCTTTTTTTGAGTTAATATTTACTGAATCAGCTCCAATTGCACAGCCATGCAATTCATCAAGATCAGAATCAATTTTTTCTTCCTTTACTCCCAACACACAAAATTTAGAAGAAACATTAGGTTCATTAATAGAAGCTTGTGTTTTAGAATCCTTGTTGTTTTCACTTTTAAGGTTAATTTTGCTAGGCATCTTTTTATACATCTTAGAAGGTGATACTAAAAGATTCTGACAAGTTTCTTCAGAAGCAGGTACCATATATATGCTGTTTTCTTTGGTAATTGTATTTCTAGCTAAACAATTTGAATCTTCAACATTTTCAGAATTACATGAGTTAAGTTTTCGAGTTTTCTTCCCAGTACAAACCCCACATGGGTGATCAGATACAGGTGAAATTACTTTATACTTTGAATCTGTGTTATACACCTTATCAGATAAAGCAATACCATCTGATCTGCTTAGAATCTGTGCTTGTTGAACACAACACAAACAGGGAGGTTCAGGTGTCTTCCTTTTGCATTTCTTATTTTCTTTTGTCACTGAATAGGGATGATCATTCTGGACAATTTCGAATGAACTATCATCAGTATTATTATGAATTTCAACATCTTTTGATTTACTTTTCACTAGTTTTCGATTACTCTCAACTAAAGAGTTCTCATTTGCTAGATTTGAAGAAAAAACACATTCCTTTTCATCACAGTCTTCTGGCATATTTATGTCCTCATTGTCTAAACTGTCCATCTGTGCAAGTAAGCCCCGAAATTCTTCTGCTTCTTTCATATCATCAGTAACTTCTCTTATAAGCACTTCTATTTCATCATCAACTTTAATTATTGTCTTCTTTGGAGTTCCAAAAACTTTTGATGCCATGCCCTGTTGACTGCTTTTTCTTGTCTTCATGACAATCCTTTAGAGGCATGTATACAATAAAATGAATGAGTTACATACACATAAAAGTTATACTTCATTCTTTTGCTTCTCTATAATCCAGGGTGTATGAAGGATGAATCTCCTGAAAAATAAAATAAAAATCTTAACTTGATACCTAGATAATATTAACTGTAATAGCAAAAAAAAAAAAACTATTTCAAACTTAAGGCAGTTTTTGAAAACAAAAATAATTGACATTGCCCATGACCTGTAATAAGACTTCATGTACTTAAATTTTGTTAAGCCTAAGAAAGCATTAACTTAATTCTCCTTGAATCTCAAGAAAAATTAGAAAAGTTTTATGGCAGTATTTCATCTGTATAGAAAATGAAGATTCCCTCTTGTCTTCCAATTAGCACACTAATTCCTTTAATTAAATTTATTTGTGTTTATTCTCTTATCCAAACCAGTTTCTTGGATTTTACAGATCATAATTATAAGTTCTGGAAGTCTAAATGCAGACTTTTTCCAAGATTTTTCACCATCTGTAATTCATTATTAGAATGTTTTACTGAATGAGATAAGCACATGCTTTTTTTTAAGGTTTTACCAAAACTTTAAATAAAAGTCTTAACATGGTATAAACTTTCTCATGGTTTAATGGTTAATTTTCAAAGGTTGATGGCCATGATAAAAATTCTTTATGAGGGGTAGATTGCAAGTGTGATATTTCAGCATAGTTTATTTTTGTTGAAAAGAAGCCATTTTAAAACATCTCACAAAACTTGTTCAGATGAATGCACCCCAACATAAACACTTACTTTAAAACTTTAACCATTATCTTCCAAAAGTCATAAGAAAATAAAAAGGCAAGGTGAAAAAAGGCCATTCAGGCTACCCATTATACAAAATCAAATGTTGCCCTACATATCTCAAGTAGTTGGAGATAATTCAAACTGCATAAGCTATATCACCCCATAAAATATCCCACATACTTAATAATGTTACCAAAAATATTATTCTACTATAAAAAAAGATTGTATTTGGTTGCCCAAAACTTAAATTTATTAAACCTCATATTCAAATATTTCTCACATTTCATCCCAACACACAACCAACTTTCATATAGGAATACTATCCAAATTCGCTACAAGTAGGTCACTGCTAATTAATTTCTAGACTATGCAGAATCCTTAATTGTACTTAAGCATGCAGATAGTTGTATCTTATTTTCTACCGCTTATCCCAACACACAACCAAATTTTA